CTAAATATTATAATGGCTAAAGGGAGCTCCCATCCCTGTCTTTCTTCCCCCTTCAGCATTTCCAGCACTGCTGTATTCCCTGAGCAAGAGATGGGTCCACCCCCTGTATCCCCTGTCCCACAGAGGCTACAAGCAGATGCCTGGGGAGGAGAAAAGCAGGGGGATGGGGGCCTTCCTCAGCCTCCTGTGCTTTCTCTGCTCAGTAACCCCAGGGGCTTCCCTTCCCCGTGCCATCCAGTCTGGTCTGGAGCCTGCTGAGCTCCCTGCACACGTCACCCCGCCGCAGGGAGCTCCAAAGGTCTCGCGTGTGGGGCAACTTCCTCCTTCCATTGCCTGAGCCCGGCACCCACAAGCTTCACCGGGTGGCCCCAAATCCTTGTGTGGGAACAGATGCATGACAGCCCTTTTCCAGCTGCCTCCCTTGGAGGGAGGAAGGCAGGAATCAGCCCCGCAGACAGCTCAGAGCTGGATTTGCTCAGAAGGGGATTTGGGGTAGATGTCACCCCACAGTAACACATCCCACTTAGACAGAGGGTACTGAAGGTGGAACAGTGTCCCTTTCCACCCCCAGCACCCCTGTGCCTGCTGCTGTACCCTCTCTCCACCATCAGGGAGGATGTAGGGTTCCCCCCCCCCCCAATCCATCCCCCTCAGCTTTCCCAGGGCAGAAGCCAATGTCCCTCCCAAGCAAAAGGACCCCAAGCCCTTTCCCTCTTCCCCCATGTGAGTAGCCAGCCCTGCCAAGTGGCAGGCATGGGCAGGACGAGATCTGGGGAGGAATGGAGCGGCCTCGCTCCCAAGCATAGGGGAAAACTGCAGCAAGTACCCAGGGCACAGCGGAGGTAGGACAACTCTTCTGCTGCAGGTCAACAGCCTGCAATGCTGACAGCGGCCAGGGAGGAGCCACCGCTTCCTTGTCTGAGCCCCCAGGCCTGGCTCCTAGGATTGCAATGGCTTGCTAGCTTTGCACAGGGAACATGCCTTGAGACCCGCAGCAGAGATTGGGGCTGCTGCACTGGGGCACAACAGAGAAGTCACCATCACAGTGACCACCATGGGGTAGCTGACAGGCAGGTAGTCAGCTCGGGAAAGCCTGGGTAACCCCTACCAAGCCCTCAGACCATTTGTGGCCATACCCACTGTAGCTCAGGCAGTGGGAGCAGGGCTTGAGCGAGGCTCATTTAGGGGTCTGGGTCACAGCACCAAGTCACAGCCTTATTGTCCTCATTGAAGTCCCCTGTACTACCCAAGGAGGCTCTCCAAAGACAAGCAGCTTCTCCAAGGATCAGCAGCACAGGCTGGTGCCCAATTCACTGATCCCAGGGTGATGCAAGTACAAGCAGCCAAGCTGTAGCCTTTGAATTGCACAAGCAGGAAAGCTTTGCAGACACCAGCCATGAAACCTGGGTGGAAACATCCCAATAAAGAAATCTAGGAAAATCATGGAGGAAGTTCCCTCCTCCAGGTGAGTCAAACCCAGACACTGGGACCCTGCAAGAGGGTTGTCCAGGGCTGGAGCAGCCGGCACGCAGCCCACACCATGCAGGGCAGAGAGCTGGAGCCCAAGGCTGTGCACAGGAGAGCCGTGCCGGGTGGTGGCCGGCAGAAGGGGCGGGATGCAGGCAGTGATAGATGCCAGGGTGCTGATGAGTTCACAGTCTTCAGGGTCATTAATCAGATCAGAGCTGGATTAAGGTGTCCGAGGTCTGATTAGCTTCATTTCCCGCCTCAGGAAGGAGGGAACTCTCTTCCCCATCCATCAGGTCCTCTAGTGACAGCTCACCTGGTTGCTAACTAGATCTGAGGACTGTAATAAGTGAACGTGACTGTGGCCTGGCCCCTTACCTCTGCCCAGCATCCTTCCTCCACAGAAGGGTCTCCACAGAGGATCTAAGGCAGCCCCAAACATCAGCCACAGGGAGCAGACCCAAGGATATCAGCCAGAGAGACAGCTCACTCCCATGGCCTGGGGGTGCAGGGCACGATGGACAGGAGCTGCCCCAGGAACCCACCCCAGTTCAGGAGGAGGTGGAGTTTAAGGGGGGAGATATTTCCAGCCAGCACCATATTGCTCCCAGTCCCCCCACAGCTCACCCTGTGCTGTTACCCCAGGCCCTCCTCTGCTCACCCCGTGGTCCCAAGGTGACCAGCTCTGTGAAACAGGCCAGCAAACACCACCCTGCTGCTGTGGAAGACCTTGGGCACATCCATGACAGATCTCCTGAGCCCCATACAGAGCTAGATGACCAGCTCAAAGTCCTGAACCAGCCAGTGTGCTTCTCCCATCTCCACATCCCTTGCTGGCTCAAGCCCACCTCATCAGTGTTTCCAGTTGTCCCCTGCTTGATGCACCTCATGTTGACTGTGCCCTAAAGGTGCCTCCACACTTATCTGCTTACTCTACTCCTGCCCAGCAAGTGCAGACCGGTGGGAGGTCCATGCTGCCCAGGCAGCAGCAAGGTTCCTCAGCTCCCTCACCTCTCTGGGAGGGCCCTGATCACAGCATCCCTCGCTGGGCAGCACCAGGAGTGTTCACACAGCTCAGGGCTTCCTGGGGCTCTTTCATTTGCCCAGGCATTTTTGTGGTTTTTTTGTTTTGGTTTGGTTTTTGTTTGGTTTTTTTTTGTTTTGTTTTTCTGGATGTGCCTCAGCTGGACGTTCAAAGCTTGGTCTTTCTTCAGCCACCTGAAAGCAGCAGTCACAGCAGCATCTATGCAGGTGTACATAAGCCTTGCAAGGCCTTTATTGCTGATGTGAAGTTGCCCAGATAGACAACTGGAGCTCTCTCTGCTGTGTCCATAGCCTCAAATGTATTTTCTCCATGCAACTTCCATCCATGCGAGGTCAAGCAGCAGGAGTAAAACTAGAAGAGCAAACACCCACACGGCCACCAAAGACACCCAACTCTTGTACACACAAGTTTTCAGCATCTGTAGGGACCCACAACACTACCTACAAGTTCACATACTTCCCCAAGCTGTTGCCAGCAGTGCCTGAGCTCTCAGAAACGAACCATGGGGGTCACAGGTAGTATTTGGGAGCACAGTTCAGTTTTACAGCCCCACCACTTCCTCAGTGTCACCTTGGGAAGCAACGTAACGTCCCTCAGCAAACCCAACTGCCCCAAGATCAAAGTCAAGGGTGCCGAAGAAAATCCATACCCTGATAAAAAAATTACCGACTGGGACCAGACTTTAATTTTCCCAGGATCGAGTCCTTATCCCAGACATCAGTTAAAGACATGACCCATGTTGGGGCTGCATCTTGATTTCCACCTAACCTGTCATTTTGGCTGTTCCTAGATGCACAATTTAGCACCTTCTGATGGGTTTGGGTCACCTCCTGCCTTCAGTCAATAGAAGTTACCTTTGAGATAGGGACACGTGCAGGAGCCAGTGTGCTTAGCCCATCCCAGAGAGGTGGCAGGCACCCTGATTTCTGCCCCGGCTATAGCTTTTAAGCCTTGAGAGAGCTCCCTGTCCCCAGGATGGCTGTACCTGCTTGCTAAGCCCAGGTCACAGCCCCTAGAGCTTTCAGACTTTAGAAATTACTTCTCTGAGGGACCTACAGTGCAACAACCTTGTTTAAAGCATCTGTCAGGAAGCAGTGGATCATGCTGTTCTGGCCCTGCTACCTCAGGTCATCTTGCAGCACTCCGAAGTCCCGAGCCAGCTAGTGGAGGAATACATCCCAGAAGCATCACCAATGCTGGACACAGGCTGTAAGCCTGCTCACAGGTGTTTTCTCAGTCATTCCCCCATGAGAGGGGCTTTAGAGGTGTCCTTCCCTCATCCATGATCTGCAGCCTCCAGCCCAGAGCAGGCTGAGCCCCTGGTGAGACATGCTGCATGTAAGAGCCCGTGGTCTGCTCCAGTTTGGGGTGTCCCAGGTTTTGTGGGAGCCCTGACTACTGCCCGCAGTGGGATGCTGCCCTTCCCCTGCCCCTCGCTGCAGGGCCACTAGCTATCTCTGGAGTCTGGGAAGCCCCAGGAGGCTGGTGGGGAAGGTAAATAAACTGCCAGCCCCGTGGTGATTTGTGGCTAAATGAACAGCTGAAGTCACCTGTCAGTGGCCTGGGGCCCGTTAACCAACCAGATAATGGATCTTAATCAGCCCTGCAGCAGTGGGAGCTGAGCCCAGCCTGTGTCAGACTTGGCACAGCCAGCCCCAGGGTCCCAGGCTGCTTGGTGGCCGTCCCCTCTGCAGAAACACTGGCACAGGCATCCACATGGCTGTTGTGGGAGCAAAGTGGCCATCTGCAGAGCCCCACAGAAATGCTCAAAGGGCTCCTCATCCGTCTTTAGGGGTCTCCCCCTGCTCTGGTGGTGGCAGGAGACAAGTGCCAGGCAAGTTGCTGAAGCCACCTCCCTGCCTGCTTCCAGAGGTGCTGTGCTCAGCCACTGCCATGCCCTGTCCCTGCCTGCATCCCCTCCCACGTGGATCTGCCTGCTCCTGCCCACCCCAGGGACTCCCGAGCCAGCCACAGGCTCCCGAGGGCTTCTCCATCCTGGCACATCGGCTGCTCTGTCCAACAGGCAGGGATCTGTCCTGGAAGGCAGAA